AGAATCTATCCATTACTGTGCTATTTATACATGTATAGTTATATTAACTTATATTTCTTTAGTTGATAGCAGTCAAAGGAAAACTTCAGGTAAACCAAGCAATAAACGTTTGACACAGACAATAAACTACAACCCCAATTCCAAAAAAAAGTAAAGTTTATGGGGCTTGCTAATCATTTATCATAGATTTTACAGAACATCCCATTTTTTTATTCATACCAGAAAATAGAAAACATATCATATATTTAAACTGATAAAATGTAACATTTTAAGAGAGAAAAATAAGGTAATTGTGAAATTGATGGCAGGAACATGTCTCAAAAAGTAAGAACAGGGAAACCTAAAACTGCCAAAATAAGTGGTACTAACAAGGAAGAGTTGGAAGAACATTTTGCAACGAATTGAGTTAATTGGTAACAGGTCAGTAACATGATTGGGTATAGTAAAAGCATCATAGAGAGTTAGTGTTTCAAAAGCAAAAATGGGCAGAGGACCACCAAACTGTGGCAATCTTTGTCTAACTATTGTTGAATAAACTCCTCAACATAAAATTGCATCATCTACAGTACATAATATCACCAAAAGATTCCAATAGGAGAAATCATATGGTTTCCCTCAGACAGCACTGCATTACAAACCGTTATGATTCTATGATGGCCATCACTATATTGTCTCAGGAATACTTCTGAAAATCACTGTATGGGAACAGTTCATGGTACCATTGAAGTGCCATCATGCAAAAAAAAAAAAAAAATCAGAACATAATCCAGAAACTATGCCGTCTTCTCTGGCCCAAAGCTCATATATAAAATAGGTCTGTTGCAAAGTGGAAAACTGTTCTGTGGTCAGATGAATTGAAGTTTGACATTCTTTATGGTAACCATGGGTACTGAGTTCTCTGGACTAAAGAGGAGAGGGGCTTCTGGCTTGTTCTCTACCCTCAGTTCAAACACTTGAATCTCTGATGGTATGGGGGTGCATTAGTGCATATGGAATGGGCAGCTTGCACATCTGGACAGGCACCACCAATGTTGAAAGATATATCCAGTTTTAGAGCAGCATATGCCCCCATCCAGATGACATCTTTTTCAGGGAAGGCCTTGCATACAGCAGGACAACGATAACCCACACACTGCATCTATGACAAGAGCATGGCTTTGTAGTAGAAGAGTCCAGGTGCTTAACTGGCCTGTCTGTAATCCAGACCTTCGCAAACTGAAACTATTTGGCACATCTTGAAACAAAAAAAATAAAACAAAGAAGATCCAGGACTGTTGAGCAGTTGGAGATAATATTCCCCTCCTAAAACTCCAGTAACTGATCTTCTCAATTCCCAGACATTTACAGAGTTCTGTTAAAAGAAGAACGGATGCTACACCGTGGTAAACATGGCTCTGTCCCAACTGTTTTGAGATGTGTTGCAGCCCTCAATTTAAAAATGTACTTTTTATTTTTCTTAAATGGTACATTTTCTCAGTTTAAACTTTTGAAAGGTTTCTTATTTTCTATTGAGAAAAAAATATGAGTTTTAAAATTTGCAAATCATTGCATTCTGTTTTTATGTAGATTTTACACAGCATCCAAACTTTTTTGGAATTGGGGTTGTAGATAACGCAGCTTCTGTTGTCTACGGCGTCCCCCACTGTAATGCCCAATCTGTGTTATTTTCGTAATTCCATACCTACAAATCGGTAAACACTGCTACCTTATACTTTGCTATATTCAAATATCAATGTAATTAGTTGTGTTTTGATTTTGAAAGGTAATAAAATGAATGGACAAAACTGTTGATGTATGGGTTTGTTACCACTTACATGTTTGAGATCACCCTGTGGTGCATTCAGCCAGCAAATACTATACTGCGGCTGCATCTCTAATTGCATTTAGTTACTATGATTAGATATGAGCGAATTATTCAAAAATTCGGTTCGGCTGATTCGCCGAATTCGCCGAATAAATTCGCTTCGAGCCGAATATATTATCGCTGCGAATTTAACTTATAAAAAGGGTGTTTCTAGGCTTCAGAGAGCCTTTATATTAGTGCAGAACACTGTACCTTTAATTTAAATGCCCTTGGAGTCTGCTGGGGAAGAGAAATAATACTGTCAGTCAGTATGACATGCAGATGAGTGCCGTCGATCTTAGAATCACCGCACACTTCACTCATTTGGGCAGTCACGGGGCCAAAACCAGAGTGTGGAGCCACAGTGTGGCGGTGGAGGCAGCAGCAATGGGAGGCCATACAGCACCCTATGACAAAATGGAACCCACCAGCAGTGTGAGGAGACCTGAAAGTGGCACATGGCAGAGTGTGGCGATGGAGACAGCAGCAATGGGAGGCCGTACAGGGACCCATGACACACTCTGGACCTGGCAGCAGCATGAGGAGGCGGTACAGGGGCCCATGACAGATTACGGGCCTGGCAGCAGCATGAGGAGTCGGTACGGGGGCCCATGGCAGATTACGGGCCTGGCAGCAGCATGAGGAGGCGGTACAGGGGCCCATGGCAGAGTGGCGGAGCGTAAGCAGCTAAAATTGAAGGCCATACAGAGGCCTATGTTAAAAAGTCCCCCCCAGCAGCAGCGTGGGGAGACGACTATCAAGAGTCCAATGGCAGAGTGGCGGAGCAGAAGCAGCTTCAATTGAAGGCCATACACAGGCCTAGGTTTAAAAGTCCCTCACAGTTAATTCCAATAACGAACTCTACTCCTCCGTGCAATCTACTTACGAGACCCTGGGCAGGTCTGGGTCCAATTTGTGGTAGAGACTGGTTTTGTTCAGCCATGCTTGAGCGAGTAATAACAGGTCTGTGAAACAAATTGTATTAGTGGTGTGAAGCGCTCAACTAAAATAATCAAAAAAACTAGTGCAATAACCCCTTTAAATATACCCTGGTGAAAAAGGTGATAAATAATACCTCTTATACAAATAATACAATAATAACTAGTGCAATAACCTCATCACTGTATATTACATCCCTAGTGGTGTAGTGATAAACAACTAATAATACTTAAACTGTGCAAAAAAGATACTCAAATACAATTAATCGGACCAATTTAAATAAAATCAAATAGGATGGTGATGCCACACTGTGCAAAAACATAAAAAGTGTTCAAATAATATCACTCCATGCTGCAATAGTGCTCTTCGTGAAATCTTGACGTGACTCCCCTCAATGATAGCCAAAATGCCCCCTCACCTTCCACATTCGACCCTTGTGGGTCACAGAGCTTTTTATATATATATATATATATATATATATATTGCCATATTTATATTCTGCCAGACTTATTCCCTCCACTGCCCACCGACCATGATCCTCCTCCAGGCAGTAAGTAATACTCCAAAAGCTCCCTTCACAAAACGGACTCTGCCAGATATAATTCTCCTCCACTGCCTTCACCTCTCAAAATCCTCCTCCAGGCAGTCAGTTACACTCCAATACCCCTCATAGAATGGACACAGGCACAGGGCGCATATGAAAAACAGAATCACATCTCCATAGTGCAACACCGTTTAATACACTGCATCAGTAGAATCGAACATTACACTCACATGTCCTTCAGCAAGGTAAAGCAGTTCCCATGTACCATGGGTGTATACAGGTGTCCAAATAAAGGTATCCTGAAGAAGCCACGTGACTGTGGCGCAACGCGTCGACGTATAGGGGTGACGTACTTCCGGTTCCGGGTTCGGACGCCATCTTTTGGACACCTGTATACACCCATGGTACATGGGAACTGCTTTACCTTGCTGAAGGACATGTGAGTGTAATGTTCGATTCTACTGATGCAGTGTATTAAACGGTGTTGCACTATGGAGAATGTGATTCTGTTTTTCATATGCGCCCTGTGCCTGTGTCCATTCTATGAGGGGTATTGGAGTGTAACTGACTGCCTGGAGGAGGATTTTGAGCGGTGAAGGCAGTGGAGGAGAATTATATCTGGCAGAGTCCGTTTTGTGAAGGGAGCTTTTGGAGTATTACTTACTGCCTGGAGGAGGATCATGGTCGGTGGAGGCAGTGGAGGAGAATAAATCTGGCAATTATATATATATATATATATATATATATATATATATATATATATATATATATATATATAAAAAGCTCTGTGACCCGCAAGGGTCGAATGTGGAAGGTGAGGGGGCATTTTGGCTATCATTGAGGGGAGTCACGTCAAGATTTCACGAAGAGCACTATTGCAGCATGGAGTGATATTATTTGAACACTTTTTATGTTTTTTGCACAGTGTGGCATCACCATCCTATTTGATTTTATTTAAATTGGTCCGATTAATTGTATTTGAGTATCTTTTTTGCACAGTTTAAGTATTATTAGTTGTTTATCACTACACCACTAGGGATGTAATATACAGTGATGAGGTTATTGCACTAGTTATTATTGTATTATTTGTATAAGAGGTATTATTTATCACCTTTTTCACCAGGGTATATTTAAAGGGGTTATTGCACTAGTTTTTTTTGATTATTTTAGTTGAGCGCTTCACCACTAATACAATTTGTTTCACATATCTTGGGGTATAGAGAATAGGTGATAGCAGCTCACTCACTAGGTTCTGTGGAGCGCAGGGGGATTTCTATATATATAATAACAGGTCTGTGCTGCCCTTTGGTGTCTGGCTTAATGCGCACAACACTGAACGTCCCAGCGTTTGTCAACGATTTGCCGTTAAGTGATGCAAACCCGCTGAACCCATGTTCATGAGGAGCCGGTACAGGGGGCCATGAATCAGTATGGACCTGGCAGCAGCAGCGTGAGCAGACGACAGAGGCACATGGCGCAGGGTGGCGGTGTAGGCAGCATTATTCTGAAGCCATACACAGGCCTAGGTTAAAAAGCAGAAGCCGTCAGCAGCGTGAGCAGACGACAGAGACACATGGCGCAGGGTGGCGGTGGATGCAGCAGTATTCGGAAGCCAAACACAGGCCTCGGTTAAAAAGTGGAAGCCGTCAGCAGCGTGAGCAGACGACAGAGGCACATGGCGCAGGGTGGCGGTGGAGGCAGCAGCAATGGAAGGCCATACAGCACCCTATCACAAAATGGAACCCACCAACAGTGTAAGGAGACCTGAAAGTGGCACATGGCGCAGAGTCTGGCGATGAAGTCAGCAGCAATGGGAGGCCGTACAGGGACCCATGACACACTCTGGACCTGGCAGCAGCAAGAGGAGGCGGTACAGGGGCCCATGGCAGAGTGGCGGAGCAGAAGCAGCTTCAATTGAAGGCCATACACAGGCCTAGGTTAAAAAGTCCCCCCCAGCAGCAGTGTGGGGAGACGACTATCAAGAGTCCAATGGCGCTGAATGGCGATCCGGGAAGTCAGCGTTCATGTGATTGCAGATGCAATGCAGAGTTAAAAATGAGGTGATGCCGAGCAGCAGAAGATCATATACCGGTACTTCCATCCATAAGACGGAACAACCTGCAAACCGGGAAGCTTTATTGCCCTGACCCGCTGAGCAGCTTCTGGGATACCCAAGAGGCCCATGGCAGAGTGGCGGAGCGTAAGCAGCTTCAATTAAAAGCCATACACAGGCCTATGTTAAAAAGTCCCCCCAGCAGCAGCGTGGGGAGACGACTATCAAGAGTCCAATGGCAGAGTGGCGGAGCGGAAGCAGCTTCAATTGAAGGCCATACACAGGCCTAGGTTAAAAAGTCCCCCCAGCAGCAGTGTTGTGGGGAGACGACTATCAAGAGTCCAATGGCTGAGTGGCGATCCGGGAAGTCAGCGTTGTGATTGCAGATGCAATGCAGAAATTTTATGAGGTGAATGCCGTGGGTGCGAAGAAGATCATATACCGTCCTACTTCCATCCATAAGACGGAACAACCTGCGAACCGGGAGCTTTATTGCCCTGACCCGCTGAGCAGCTTCTGGGATACCCAAGAGTTTGGCTTCTGTGGGGAATATGGTTGAAAACTGAAACTTAAAGGCATGTTGACGGAAGGGCACCAGTGTCAGTGCTCCGGAGGGAATATAGCTTCAAAGCTGACACTTAAAGGTATATCGACGGTCAGAGACCACAGGAAGTGGAGCTTGCGTCTTAAATCGACTGAATGTGGCAGACGTGAAACGTCTACGGGCCGTATATGAAACGGGTTGTTCCTCTTTCTGGAATAAGTGTTGGAAATGGCCACTCTTTTTGGTGTGGCGTTTTTGTCTATTTAATTCCGATAACGGACTCTACTCCTCCGTGCAATCTAGTTACGAGACCCTGGGCAGGTCTGGGTCCAATTTGTGGTAGAGACAGGTTTTGTTCAGCCATGCTTGAGCGAGTAATAACAGGTCTGTGCTGCCCTTTGATGTCTGGCTTAATGTGCACAACACTGAACGTCCCAGCATTTGTCAACGATTTGCCGTTAAGTGATGCAAACCCGCTGAACCACGTTCATGAGGAGCCGGTACAGGGGCCATGAATTAGTATGGACCTGGCAGCAGTGTGAGGAGACCCGAAAGTGGCACATGGCGCAGGGTGGCGGTGGAGGCAGCAGTATTCGGAAGACATACACAGGACTAGTTTAAAAAGCGGAAGCCGTCAGCAGGCGTGAGCAGACGACAGAGGCACATGGCGCAGGGTGGCGGTGGAGGCAGCAGTATTCGGAAGCCATACACAGGCCTAGGTTTAAAACTGGAACCCAGCAGCGTGAGCAGACGACAAAGACGCACATGGCAGAGGATGGATCTGGCAGCAGTATGAGAAGGCGGTACAGGGGCCCGTGGCACAGTGTGGTGATGGGGGCTACAGCAACTGGATGCCAGAAAGTGGCCGATAGGGCTATATTACTGCATGGAATTATAAAGTTGTAAAGACAGCGGCCTATAAGGCTATACACACTATAACAATCATGACTTGATTGACCATTGGCCTATAAGGCTATACACAGCATGAATATCATGACTTATTCTGAGAGTGGTTTGGAAGGCTATATACAAAAAGTAATTCATGAGCTGTCCGGACAGCGGACAATAAGTACATATATACAAATCAATTCATCAGCTGTCCAGCCAGCGGCCTCAAAGGCGACACATTTAGAAAGCAATTCATGAGCTGTTCAGACAGCGGCCCTCTAAGGCGACAGATATACAAAGCAATTCCCGAGGTGTTCAGGGAGCGGCCCTGAACGGCTAGGTTATTACTAAATATATTTTTTGTGGCCAAACATCGGCCTATAAATAGATGTCTACACAGTGACAAAAAATTATGTCGCCAGACAGCGGCCCCTAAGGCGACAGATATACAAAGCAATTCCCGCGAGCGCACAGGGCCCACAGTGTCTGAGGATGGACGTTGGCGCAGAAAGGCAGAGACCAACTGACTACATAGGTGGTTTTTATAGTACTTTATTTTGGCCTCCCTCTCAGCAGGTGTGAAAAAGGCCACCATTTTTGAACGGTAGCGAGGGTCCAACAAGGTGGACAGCCAAAAGTCATCCCTCTGTCTGATGGTTATTATTCGGCTGTCGCTATGCAAGCAACCAAGCATGCTATGGGCCATTTGTGCCAAGGAATGCGAGGGACTCCCTGCCTCCATCTCCACAGCATACTGCCACGGTGCGTCTGGGTCCTCTGTCTCCTCCTCCTCCTCTACCAGATGCTCCTGCTCCTCCACTCCTGTCCGCTGAGTGGAAAAAACCACCCATTTCACTCAATAATTCCTGAGCACCAATGTCCCTCTCCTCTACCTCCTCCTCTTCTTCCTGTCCTGCCCCCACAGGGGTCATGTGGCGTTGAGATCTGTGCGCCACGTCTACCGCACCCTGACCAGCCATTGTTAACAGCATTTTGTTCCAGGACGTGCAACAGAGGAATGACGTCGTTCATCCCATAGTCCTGCCAACTCACGAATAGCGTGGCCTCCTCAAAGGGCCTGAGCAAGCGGCAGGTGTCACGCATGAGCTGCCAATGGCTGACATCTAAGTTACACAGGGGAGTACCTTTTTCCGCTTGTAACATCAGGAAATCGGTGATGGCCTTTCGCTGTTCGTAAAGGCGGTCTAACATATGTAGGGTTGAATTCCACCTTGTTGCAACGTCGCAGATCAGGCGATGCTGCTGTGGAATTCCGTTCTGCCGCTGCAGCTCAAGGAGGGTGTGCTTTGCGGTGTAGGAATGGCTGAAATGCATGCAAAGTTTACGTGACATTTTAAGGATGTCTTGCAGTGGGATGGTGGATTTTAGGAACCACTTGACAACCAGATTGAACACGTGAGCCATGCATGGCGCATGGCACAACCTTCCTTGACGCAGAGCAGACACCATGTTCTTTTCCGTTGTCGGTCAACATGGTTCCGATTTTCAGTTTGCGCGGAGACAGCCATCTGTCGATTTCTCTGTTCATTACACTCAGAAGTTCCTCCCCTGTGTGACTACGTTCGCCAAGGCATACCAGGTGCAGCACAGCGTGACACCGTTGCGCCCTGCACATGTGATATGCCGGTCGGGTAATGGGACTTAGCACGGGGGTGGCGGCTGAGGACACGGCGGAAGAAGAGGTAGTAGAGGCGGACATCTTTGCTGGACCAAGGACGTGCAAACGTGGAGGCAAAAGCGGCGTGACCTGTCCAAGTTGCTGGTGCGGCTGTGCCGGCACCACGTTCACCCAGTGGGCCGTAAATGACATGTACTGTCCCTGACCGTAGTTACAGCTCCACACGTCGGCGCTGCCGTGCACTTTGGCAGAGACCGACATGCTCAAAGACTGGCCCACCATCTCTTCTACATGTGAATGCAGGGCTGGCACTGCCTTTTTGGCGAAGAAATGCCGGCTTGGCACTCTCCACCGCGGCTCGGCACAAGCCATCATTTCTCGGAAAGGTGCTGAGTCCACCACTTGGAAAGGGAGGGACTGCAGCACCAGCAACTTGGACAGGAGGACGTTCAGCTTCTGCACCGTCGGGTGCGTGCTCGCAAACTGTTGTCTCTTGGAAACGGATTCCAAGAAAGACTGCTGACGGAATCCGTGAAGAGGAGTAGCAGGAGAAGGAGCATCTGAACGAGGGGAAGATGCCAACGAGCGACAACTCCCCTCAGCAGAGGTGTTGGAGCCTTGACTGGCTGATAGAGGGCGATTGACGTCGGGTGACGGAGCAAGTAACGGAGCGGGTGATGGAGCGGGGCTGGGGCAGGCAGAACCGCCGTATCTTTATCACGGTTTTCCCAGGCCACCGAATGGCGACGCTGATGCATATGCTGACGCAACGCTGCAGTCCCAACATTGGCCCCCCTGGCCACGCTTGACTTTCTGGCCACATAGTCGACATAACGGCTACGTTTACTTCCCTCGGGCGGCTTGACCAAAAAATTGCCACACCGCCGAGTAGGAAACTTTGCCCCCGCTACTCCTCACACTGGCTGACTGCTACTTCCTCCGTGCACACCGGCACCACTACTGGCCGTGGTGGTAGGCTGCAGTGGAGCTGGTGCTCTACTCCGTGGCCGTGGCCGTTTGGCTCCACTGACACTGCTGCGACCCTGCTGCCTCCTGGGCAACCCACTGACTGTTTTGCTCGCTGGCAAGCTGGCACCCTCTTCCTCCTGATGATGCGGAAGCAATAGCCTGATGACGACGAGGCTGCCAAGTGCGATCAGCCTCATCATCATCAATTAGGGTCTCCGCGTCACTACTAGCCCCCTCGGCTGCGTGTGGGTCAGGAGACAGACCTGTCTCTAGACCGACTACCGAGCCACTCTCCTCGCCAGTACTTCTTCGCCTGGCTGCTGAAGAGGCGGATGTCTCCCCCCGTTCCTGACCGCCCTCTGTTAGCTCTTCCTCACTGTACAATGGGGCTGAGCCCACAGCATGCGATACTTCGCTTGGTGAGGGAACACCAAAGGACAGGGGCAGGTCGAGGACACGTGATTTCAGTGGGCTTGCTCCCGGGCCATGCCAACTAACGGTTGTGTCTGACGTACCCACCGACCGTTGGCTGTAGGTGTCAGAGGTGACCTGGGAAGAGGGAAGACGACCGAGTCAACCAATCGATGACGGCAGGGTTGTCGGTGGGAGACACGACCGCTGGATGACACCGGGAGCACTGGCCTCTGGCTGCGACTAGTGCTGCCTCGACCCCTTCCTCTGCTGCCACGTCGCTCGCTCGCTCCTGAAACATTGCCTCCTCTGCCACTCCTCTGCGTGTTGTCTGACATACTCTTTAATTCAATAAGCACCCCAAAAAATAAAACCGATTTAACTCTTTGAACGTACAATAGTGGTTGTGTGAAGCAGAAAGTCAGTTTATTGTACACAATCGGGTCAATTGCAGCTTGCCGTTGGGCTGTAAACTGTACGTTTTATGTCACTGGAATGCACTAATCACCCAAAAAATATTACCGCCACCCGGCGTGTATATGGATTTAACTCTTTGAACGTACAATAGTGGTTGTGAAGCAGAAAGTCAGTTTATTTGATCCTGGACAATCGGTCAATTGCAGCTTGCCGTTGGCTGGAAACTGTACGTTTATGTCACTGGAATGCACTAATCACCCAAAAAAATATTACCGCCAGCCGACGTGTAAATGGATTTAACTCTTTGAACGTACAATAGTGGTTGTGAAGCAGAAAGTCAGTTTATTGTACACAATCGGTCAATTGCAGCTTGCCGTTGGCTGTAAACTGTACGTTTTATGTCACTGGAATGCACTAATCACCCAAAAAATATTACCGCCAGCCGGCGTGTAAATGGATTTAACTCTTTGAACGTACAATAGTGGTTGTGAAGCAGAAAGTCAGTTTATTGTACACAATCGGTCAATTGCAGCTTGCCGTTGGCTGGAAACTGTACGTTTCTGTCACTGGAATGCACTAATCACCCAAAAAATACTACCGCCAGCCGGCGTGTAAATGGATCTAACTCTTTGAACGTACAATAGTGGTTGTGAAGCAGAAAGTCAGTTTATTTAGCACAATCGGTCAATTGCAGCTTGCCGTTGGCTGTAAACTGTACGTTTTTATGTCACTGGAATGCACTAATCACCCAAAAAAATTACCGCCAGCCGGCGTGTAAATGGATTTAACTCTTTGAACGTACAATAGTGGTTGTGAAGCAGAAAGTCAGTTTATTGTACACAATCGGTCAATTGCAGCTTGCCGTTGGCTGGAAACTGTACGTTTCTGTCACTGGAATGCACTAATCACCCAAAAAAATACCGGAGTACCGCCAGCCACCGGCGTGTAAATGGATCTAACTCTTTGAACGTACAATAGTGGTTGTGAAGCAGAAAGTCAGTTTTATTTAGCACAATCGGTCAATTGCAGCTTGCCGTTGGCTGGAAACTGTACGTTTATGTCACTGGAATGCACTAATCACCAAAAAAAATATTACCGCCACCCGGCGTGTAAATGGATCTAACTCTTTGAACGTACAATAGTGGTTGTGAAGCAGAAAGTCAGTTTATTTAGCACAATCGGTCAATTGCAGCTTGCCGTTGGCTGGAAACTGTACGTTTGTGTCACTGGAATGCACTAATCACACCCAAAAAATACTACCGCCAGCCGGCGTGTAAATGGATCTCTAACTCTTTGAACGTACAATAGTGGTTGTGAAGCAGAAAGTCAGTTTATTTTGCACAATCGGCAAACTGCAGCACCAACTGTGCACGACAGCCACCAAAAAAAAAAGGGTGTATGTCACTTTAAATTTTCGATTCTTTGATAGCTGTGGCCCTAAGTAACGATTCTGTGTCCCTGAGTAACGATTCTGTG